GCCCCTATGCAGTCTAGGGGGTGTGTCAAATATATGTATAACTCATATTTGTATAGACTGTATAGGGTCACCTCCTAGAGGGTACAACACTCTTAGGTATATACACTTGTTCTCTCCCTCTATGCAATCATTCAGTTTTTCCTTTGAGATGTGTATGGTGTGGGTGTGTGTGGGCTTTCTACTACCAAGCCTAGGGGGTCAGGCCTCAAAATTGGTTTTAGGCCACTCTTAGGAATCAGAGTGCCAAAAAAAAATTACCCTGCCGGTCAGAGTACAATTTTTCTCAAGTCTGATTCAGCAGGGTAGAACATTCGGCACTCTGGGTGCTCAGGGTAAAAAAAGCAGAACCCAGTTTCACGTTATGAAATGCACTATATTCCTAGCTACACTGCATGTCAATAATTAACATATGGAAATAATTAGCATGAACTAGGAACGTAGGCAAGGAAAATCACAACCACACGACCTACAGCACACTAGGATCCTCTAGTGGAACTGGGTCAGGGTCAGGGTCAGTCCTTATGGTGCCTGCATCTGCAGAAGCCGCAGCTGGAGTTGGGTTGGCAGAACACAAGTCGCGCAGAGGCCGCCGCCGCTTCTCACCTCGGAAAACAGCTACCACATCAAACCAGTCAATCTGGTAGCACAGGAGCGAGCACCGCATCAAGTCGCCCAGGCTGTCATCGCCAAGGCACCCACGACTCCATGACTTGATCAGATTTTGCTTCGAGAAACCACGTTCGCACTCCACTGTGCTGAGAGGGAGCACCGCCAGTGCCTGCCACAGCTTGAGGATGTTGGGGTAGCTCCGCTGCCACTCATTGTTGTCCAGAGTCAAGGTGAGCCCCTGTTGAAACTCGTCATCTTTGTACTGCGACACCATGGTAGCAGTAAACACCCACAGCTCCGTGACGGCCTTGTTGTAGTCGAAGCCTACAGGATGGTGGGGTTGGGATTCAAAGGATAGGAAACAGTAAGCCTTTGAGGGGAGATGTGCAACGAATGTTGCTGCAAATGGATTGCGGGGACTGCAGCCTAAGAACGGACACGCAAGCATCGATGACAGGCAGCATCATCGAGAACAAATCTGTCTCACCTGGGAGCTTTCCATCGAAGAGGTTGTGGGACTGCTTCAGCCACTGCTTGCATCTCGCTAGGCGCAACTCGTCGTCTCGTGGGTAGGTCTTGGCTTTGAAGAGCTTGCATCCTTCCATGTTAGCCAGGTCCTTCAGGCGGGCACGGACGTTGGTGACGACATCGATTGCATGCTTCCGGCAGACTTGGGCGCAGGAGTCTAGGTCGCTCTTGGTGTTGTGCCCCTCCACCATCCGCTCATGCAGCACATACTCGAACGCCTGAGCATTCCCCTCCGAGTCAACGCCTTGAACGCGCACGCGGCGCTGGTCGGGCCTCCCGTGACGCTCCAGGAATTTCCCAAGCCTCTCGCTGCCGTTCCCGAAGAAGAGACCACCGCCGCACTTGATGTAGCGGTCGGTGATGCGGTTGCACGTGTTGTCCACCACTGAGGCCACGATTGTGAGATCCACCTGCAACGAAAACACAGAGATAATTTCAAAGCAAACAGGGCACCATGAACGACATGCAAAATAAACGTGCAAAGTATGACTGAGTGCCTAGATGCAAGCACATGGTACTGACGACATTCAACGATGAGAGGAGTGTCATACCTGGCGCTGCTGGAAGCGGGTGTTAAGGTGATTCAGCTCCTCCAGTATGTCGGCGAGGTAGTGCAGCATGAACTGCACCTTGAACGACGTCACAATCTCGAAAAGACCGCTGGGGTGATCACGCAGCAAGACGATGGCCGCCGGCAGCACTTCGACGAAGCGGATCACCGCCTCTCCGCGCGACAACCAACGTACGGCGTGGATCCCTTGCATCTCTAGATTGGTGTTGCAAAACACCAGCTGGAAGTTTATGAAGCTGAGGTGCTGATTGTTGGAGCGACCGACGAGCTCGGCGAAAGCACGGATGAGCATGTCGATGATCTGTAGCTCGGCCACAGCAGCGGCAGCATCCTTCGCCGCAAGTGCCTCTCTGGCGGGAGGAGTGGATTAAACACAAAAAAGCAATGAGTCCGACAAGCAGAGGAAAAGCATACGGTCAACGAGTACAACACTAGAACAGATGCAATGATTTGGAGCGTTCTACTGAAAACATGAGGGTAGCGAGTAAAACACCCCACCTATGGGCGATGCAGTGAACAGCCATCAGGTGCTCAATCCGCCTCTTTAGGCGGGTTACCACTCCCTGTTGCACACCGGTCATTACCGATGCTCCATCGGTAGCCATCCCGACGATCTTCTGGAGGTCGAGACCGATGTACTGCAGGTACTGTAGAAGAACCGCCGTCAGAGACGCCGCATCGGTCCGCTCGACAGTTAGCAGAGTGACAAACTCTGTGACTACCGAGTTGCCACGAAAGAACGTAGCATACAGAATTAGATGCTTCCCGTGCACGCGGTCCGTGCTTTCATCGATGGCGATGCCGACAAACGGGGAGCTCAGGATGTGGTGGAGCTGCTCGTCCTTCAGGTACTCGGAAATCGCCTTGGTCCCTTGCTTGAAGCCATAACTGGTAGGGGGAGATGGGAATGGATAGGCTACTGGTAAGAAAGTTGGAGAGCAAGTGGACACATACAAGGAAATTACGGCAACGTTCGATGTCTGCGGCGACATGCAATGCATTGACGGGAGAAGAGGGATTCGGATATCAAAACTCACTCCGTGTAGTAGGTCCCATACGCCCGACCCTGCGGGAGATCGGGTAAGCCCTCGGACACGAGGAAGTAGCAAAGCGCCACGTACATCGTGATGGGCGCGTCGGCCTTACAGACAAAAAGGGCGATATGGAAGCACCGGATGAGATGTTTCGTCGATGCATCTGTCACCGCCCATCGGTCTAGCGTCTTCTGCTGATCCGTCTCTTTCTCCCGTTCTTGCTGCGCCTTGACAGCCGCCTTGTGAGCACGTGTCCCAATGTGGATTCGGATGCTGCCCACCTGGAGATCGCGCGCACCCTCTCCTTTCCTGCCATATGAAGTGTTGGAGAAAGCATCACCGTACTGGAGACACAGGGCACATTTGAGGGCAGGTCGGCCGTTCTTCATACGAGTAAGTCGGAGCCACGGGAAGCGTCGTGACCAGTCGTCCACGAAGCGACGATTCACGACCTCATACTCCGCGTCGACATGAGAAGCGGGATTCTGGGGCGGAGTAGGAGCAACAGGCGGAGGAGTAGGCGGTGCAGCCGGCTTCTTCGGCGGTGGCGCCCAAGGAAGCCGACGCTGAGTCCATGGTCCGCAGTCCTTCCTCTTGGCGGGAGCGGTGGCGACAGACTCAGCAACTTCTGGTGCCTCGCCAGAAGTGCCTTCGCTGTGCAACAGGTTGAGGTCGATCGCCTCAGCAGCATGAGAAGAGCAAGGTGGGGACGTTGGCTCAAAAAGAAACTGTTGCGGAGGGGGTGCACGCTTGTCGAGCGAGGGATTGCGCGGCGGGGAAGGCGCAACTCTACGCGGCGGGAGGAGGGGGAAAACCCCAAGAACGCTGAGTCCATTCAGTGGGGGAGGGTCAGGAGGATCGGCAGCATCGAGCGCCATGGCTGAAGGACGATCCAGCTACTCGAAACTCTACTGGGTGAGGGAATGCTCGTTGCAAGTCAGGGGGCATGGTTTCTGGAAGAAACGTATGGAGAAGAAGGGCGTTTTGCGAGACACAAAAGGTGTGCAGTCAAGAGCCTCGTTTGGGACCGCTCAGCTCACAGGAAAAAACCTGTGAAGTTGCTGCATGCATCAGCATTCACTGTCGGCGCGCGAACTTGTCACCCAGCGAGGAAACAATGCTGCCACTCTAACCAATCGTAAGGCGGCGCAAAGCCAACGAGGTGGTACCATCAACACGTGCCCATGCGCATGTGATGATGGTGGGCAACAAACTTCGGACTGACGAGGGGCGTGGCGGTGGCGTGGCGGGCATCACTCGCACAAAATCTGGCACGTATCTTGCCTCTTTGGAGTTTCTGTATCAGGGTAATTTTCATTCTACCCTGACGCCTCAGGGCTGGGAGGCGCCTAACCCTGGTTCTAGCAGGGTAAAAAAAGGCGAACACTTTTTGAATCAGCCTTAAAAAAATTACAAGTCGGATTTTTAAGAGTAACATGAAAAATACCCGGAAAAATCAGGGCAATCAGGGCATTTCACCCGGCTATTTTGAGGCCTGTAGGGGGTGTGTCAAGATTATATAAGTTATATATATAATTGATAGGCTTGATAGTTGTGCTACTGCATCCTACTGTAGAGGGGGATAACTCCCCTTCTTGTACCTCATTCTCTTCTTGTTCAACAACTCTTCTCTCTCGACTTTTCTCCTCACGCTCCTAGATCTACTTTCCTCCCGCCATTCCATGGCGGCTTTCCTAGCCTCCTAGTTTCGTATCTTAAGTAGCTAGTGTCCTAAGTTCTTCTGAGACCCTGTACAGTAGGTTTCAGTAACACCTACGAAGCCCACCAATTATATATCTAAGATATAATTTAACACCTTCGGCTTCGCTGTCTCCTGACAACTCGTGCCTCCAGACGTATCTTCAAGCTATAGGCGCCGCGGACGTCCCCTCCTTGGGAGGGGGGTTGTGTTACAGAGTAGTTTACTGTTCACAAGGTATTTACCCTGACAGCAGTGTTCATCCCATCCCAACTTTATCTGTTCACAATCCAACTGCCACGTGGCTCTTTAGTTTCGCCACATAATCCCATTCTTTCCCACATCCCACAACCTTTCTTGCATGCTATATGAACCTTGCCGCAAGGTTGCTCAAGTTTTTGATTCTTGACCCTTTGCTGGAGAGGCCACGGGCCTCCAATATCTTTCCGACATTCCCATTTACTGGTGAGGTGGTCTCATGTCCCCAACACTCACTCGTTAGGCTCACTCGTTAGGCTTGCTGGTGATACCAGGGTAAGTACTAGCGTGTATTCCACCACAATAGTCTCCTTACCTTGACTCACAAGCACCACATATTGGACAAACATATTGTAGGCACATTAAACGTACATATGCCAATACGATCAAGGAGATAACCCCAATCATTATCTACCAATCATTCTAAGTTTATAATGGACAGGAAGACATTAACAAGATGCACGGCCAGAGAGACTGCGGAAATCTGACGGTGGCTATCCAGACACGGCCATTTTTCCGCATGAAGGGAAGGCATTCACCAATCCGCACAGCGCTTCTGCCGCCAAGGGAGCGACACGGCGCCGGGTCGGCGGTGGAAAACGGCCAGAGCTGCCGTTGCGAGGAAATTTGCAGCGTCTCTCCGCGTCTGCTGCGTCGTCGCAATCCAGCGTCCACCACCGTCGCCGCTACCGCCTACCCCCTTGCGCTAGCACTACCTGCCCTCACGAGCGGGTGCGGAAGACAACGCAGCGCCGCTCCTCGGGATAGTCAGTACTGTTGTCGGCAATATTCAAGTTGACTGGACCCTGCGGACCGGGGATCGCGGCGTGCGTGAAGGGCAACAGGATGCACCTGTCGTTAAACCAGTCGATGCCGTGATGCCACTGAGACTGCGGCTTCCAGTTTCGCACGTAGACGTGCGCGATGGCGTCCTCGCGCTGGTTCAAGTAAAACTGGTCACCGGGATGCTCGTCGGGGGGCAGGCGTTGGGGGCACTGCAGATACGTGCCGTTGGTAGAGTCGGCAGCAATCAGGCCGTTGGACTTGTAGTCACGGATCCCGGGAGCGAAGTAGTCCATGCTGCCCACCCAGTGCACCTGCTCTCGAGTGATGGTGAGCACGGCGTGATCGCCCTTGATGTCGTCCTTGATGTGAAACGACGGCACGGAGTTCTGGAAGCCGTCGAAGTAAAAATCGCAGTAGGCGGACGGATGGGTAGGGCAGCACATGGGAATAGCGTAGTTAGGAGTGTTGGGGTAGCGGTCGAACAGACGGAACGTGTCATAAGGGCTCTGCGACAACGTTGCTGTCGCAAGCCCTAAGACAAGAGCCAGGAGCAGAGCGTGCCGCATAGTTGGTCGTCAACAACCTAGTTCACGTCCCAGATATGCGTCGTACTCAATCTAGCAGCCCTAAACAGATTAACAGTCTAAAATTATCAAATCACACGCGACTAGCTATGCACAGGCAAGCTTCCAAAGAATAGCAAGGGTGAAGGCAAGGGCGATGGGTAGAAGCAAGGGTGAGTTAGCAGTGGTGTGCGAAATGAGGGTGCTGTGATGATGCCTCTTCGTGAGCTGACAGGACTGCTGCTCGCTGGATGCGCGGCACGACACAATCGAGGCTAGGGAACTGCAGAACCTCCCCGCCTCCCATTCCTTGACCATGACGGCTTGCTTCGGAATGAACAGCAGGGAAAACCCCAGCCACCAAACACCACGGAACGAAAAAGCGAGCCGCTTTTTGTATGGCGCGGTCTGGCTGAGAGACTTCGTGATTGAGACAATAATGAAATTGCTTTTAGAGAAGTTGCACCTTCCAAACCAGCTTTTCCCCTCACCTAGGCTACCGAACCTCTGATCCTTGTTGACAGGCCTCGGAATTTGGAGAAAGGCAGACAACGGTCGAACCGCCCAATTTGCAGCCCAGCGAAGCGCCAAGTCGTCAAATGCATTCCCGCCAGATATATGTTGTAGAACTTTACCTTTCCCTCCTTTCTCATACGGCCCTTTAGAGTCACAAGCTACAAAAGCAAACATCGAGTCCACTCGGCAATACTACACTTCACCGTAGAAGTAGGTGTATATTTATGCAAAGGATTAATAGATTATTGGTCCCTCTAGCTAATATACTCAAGCGACGACGACCATTTCAGGGCGAGTCCTGAGTTACAATTCTGAGAAAATTATCTCACTGGGACCTTCCCTATCAAACAGATCCCTTACCTTATTGTCTCAGACCGAGCTGCAATGGAAACCAAGAACGAGGATTTCTGCACGTAGGACACGCATTCATAGCACCCCAGATTGCCCGATCCAAAAGATTGCGGTAGATTATTGGGCAGGCATGAATGATGGTGAAGTATACTCGATAGAGTTTACTTATGCATTCCTGGTATAACACTTAGACTGTACTAGTAGCGCGATACCTCATATAGTAGGATGTGCGTGATGACATCAGCAGTATCAAGTCAACGCATGGACAGCATGTTCGTACGTACAGTCACCCGAAGGGTCACGCCACTCTCAGCCACACGAAAAATCACTAGTCATCTATCAATTTGAGTAGGCTTGGTAGGTGTGCTACAATTATTGGATCCTACTGCAGAGGGTACAACCTCCCCTTCATGTACCCTATCCAACTTTCTTTTCTGTCGTAATTTTTTCTCTAGCTAAAACCTCTCGATTTTTCTCATAATTAGCTACTAGGTTCCTAAACTCCTTTCAATATGGTATAAATGCAGACCGATCCTGCTGAGCCTTCTCATCACGCTTCCGCAGCGTCCTCTCGCCCCTCCCACGGCGGCCTTTATGCTCTACCGTGACAGCCCCGACTCGCTGCCGTGGCGGCGTCATCATGCTGCCGTGGCGGCTGTTGTGATAAAACCGTACTTCAGTATTTCTGTAAGTAGTTCCGATAGATATTTTCGAGTTACACTATAGTTAGCGTCCGTAGAATGACGTCAGCAAATAGTGCTCGTCTCGATGATTACGTCAACAAGTCGTTTCAGTCACGCAAACAGTTGCGCCCCTTTCAATAGCGATTAGAGCGCATAGCACAAGTAGTTTTGAACACATACATTACCGAACATGTACTTCTAGCATGTATAAGAGTAGCTTGTATGACTTCAATTATTAACTTGTTCTTGAGTAAATTCTGGTCAACACTTATAAGTTCTAAGACTTCCGGTGTCTTACTAGTCTACCATTCAAGCAAAGATACTTGTTCAAGTCTTGAAGTATCACAAGGCTGTAACACTGATTCTGGTGTTACAACTTATAAATACTGGCTGTTCCTGGAGGTACTTACAGTATTACGTTCTTCAAGTATTTGTATCTGCAGATTCTATACTTAGTCTCCCGCACTACTTCTCAATTTCTTACAGTGGCGTCGACGCGCTAGCGCACGGGTAGCAGCTCGTCGCGCACCGTTGTAGGCGCCAGCCATGACGCCCACACGCCAGCTAGTGCGTCAGTCCCCGGCGCCTTGCTGAAGCGCACATCCCCCTGCATCTCCCCTTACTTCAGCCGCAGTTGCTGACTCTATACCCGGTCGTCGTCGGGCCGTGCTATGCCGCCGGGTACCGTGAGCTTCAGAGTCGCCGCTGTCGTCGTCGAAGCCACCGCCGCCACCGACGCCGTCGTTGTCAACATCATAGAAGCCGCCGCTGACGCCGTTGCTGCCACTCGCCACTGTTATCGCCGCTTTGAACGAGGGCTAGAAGCCACCCCTGCTGCAGGACATGGGGGTGTACGGGCTTGGGGGTGTTGCGAGTTGGATGGGCTTGCGAATACCAAGCCTAGGGGGTGTGTCAAATTGAGTAGGCTTGGTAGGTGTACTACAATTATTGGATCCTACTATAGAGATAACAATCCCCCCTTCTTGTACCCCTCTCTCTTCTAGTCCATCTCTCTTTTCTCTCATAACTTTTTGTTAGAAACTAAGGAGCTAGCTAGGTAGTCATGAGAAAAATCGAGAGGCTAAGCTAGGGGGGAAAGTGAAGAGAGAAAAGAGGGTTGGACTAGAAGAGAAAGAGATACAAGAAGAGGGAGGTTGTCCCTTCTATAGTAGGATCCAGCAATATAGCATACCTACAAAGCCTAAACAAAAATATATATAATATATATATATAATTTGACACACCCCCTAGGCTTGGTAATCGAAAGCCAACTCTACATACAACACCCCCAAACCCGTGCACCCCCATACCCTTCAGCAGCTGTGGCGTCTACCCCTCGTGCGAAACGGTGACACCCCCAGCGGGTGGCAGCAAAGGCGTCCGCAGCGGAACGACGACGACAGCGACGGCGGCAGAGCATGTGGCGCCAGCTGCACCTGCATCGGCGGCGTCGACGACGGCGGCGGCGACTGCTAAGCTCGCAGCGCCCGATTGTGTGGCACGACCCGGTGAGGACCGGGAAGAGAATTATCAGCTGCACTTGGAATGAGGGGTGGCGCGGGGGAGGGGGGGGCGTGGCTTCAGTGAGGCGCCCTAGCTGGCGCGCAGGTTGTCGTGCGGGCGTACAGCCGGCACCTAAAACATTGCGTGGCCCGCTGCTGCCCTTGCGCTGGCACGTCGACGCCGCCACGGCTGCACGAGGACGCGGCAGCACGGCGGAACGGTGGCACCGCGGCACGACGGCAGGGCGGGACGGCGACAGAGCGGAACGGCGGCACCGCGGCACAGTGGCATGGCAGGACGGCGACACGGTGACATGACGACGCCGCCACGGCGTAGCGTCGACGCCACGGCAGCGCGTCGGGGCTGCCACGGCAGCGCATAAAGGCCGCCGTGGCAGCACGACGTGGCCGCCATGGTGGCGCGTAAGAGACGGAAGGGGCGAGAGAACGCTGCGGAAGCGTAGAGATAAGACCATGTAGAATCACATCAGGGTATTTTGTAGAGGCACTTTTTCGCATCAGGGTGCGAACGATACACCACTTTTGAAAATCAGGGTCCCGTACAAACGTAGCTTTTTTCATAAGGGTCCAAAACTAAAGCACTTTTAAAAATAAGGGTCCAACACCAACCCCAGCCTTATAGTAAGGGCCGTAAGGGTATTTTACCCTGATATCCTGAGGCCTGGATAAGACTCAGCATGTTCGGCCAGCTCTGATACCATGTTAGAACTAAGAAGCTAGGTAGGCAGCTATAAGAAAAATCGAGAGGTTTAGCTAGGGGGGAAAGTGACGTAAGAAAAGAGGGTTGGACTAGAAGTGAAAGAGATACAAGAAGGGGGGGGGGGGGTTGTCCCCTCTACAGTAGGATCCAGCAATGTAGCACACCTACCAAGCCTATATGTATATATATATAATATACATGATTTGACAATTTTCTCTAGCTAAAACATCTCGAATTTCCTCATGACTAGCTACTAGGCTCCTAAAATTCTTTCAACATCGTGTCACACGAAAACGCGATACACTACGAACAGGTACATTCCGAATAGGTGCTTCATATACTATAATATGTATGCATTTCCCATTATTATTGTCCTTGTCATTTTGGGAATTTCCAATACAATCTATAAAGTCATTCACACAGACTTTTACTCGTGGTTCCACCAACTCTAGATCCCTGCCACCCTAAACACGTGGTTAATTTCAACAAATGAAACGTTGTATTGGAATTAGCAGTGTTGCGTGCTGTACAATTTGTGAAAAAAAACAAAGAAACATTTTGGATTGCCCCCTCGGATTTGCTCAGTGGCGGCGATGCAGCCTCTGCCAAACGTGGTAGAGCGAGCATGGCTGGAGATTTTAGTGAGGTAAGGGAGCCTAGAAGTAGTAATTGGAGCTGCCGTCGAAAAGCAAGTCTCGCGGGGGAAGGTCTAGTGTGGGGAAGGTGGACTGGATGGCAGGGGGAGGTGAGCGAGGGCGATGGTGAGGGATGTGGTGGCGCTTTAATCGCGAGGGCTCACGGTCGCGTGCTTGGGCCAGCCATACGGAGCGCACGACGGCCCACATCGTTTCGCCGTACGAGCCTCTCGCCAACATGCTCGCATGGTAGCGCGTGCGGTGGAGTTAAGTATAGGACCGATCCGGCAAGGCTAGCGTGAGTTCCTTGGCGATCGCCCGTCTTCCCCGGCGGCCACGAGCCATCGCCGCGATTGGAGCAGGGCAGGGGTTGGGGCGCGCAGGGCAGGGCGGGCGGCGGGGCGCAGACGAGGCGAGGTGGATGAGGTGCGCGGCTGCCAGGTCGTCCCTCTACGCGCGCGCCCGCTCCTTACCGCTTCCCACACCTCCTCTCCTGCGTCCTCCCGCCCGCTGCTTCCTCGCGGCCCTCCCAGCCTTCGCCATGCAGTGCGCCGTCCCCCTGCCACTGCTCGGCAACGCTCCGCTCCCCGCGCTCTCCCCGTGCGCCGTGACATCAACGCCCTCCGCCCCCTCGCCTTGGCCCGCCTTGCTCGCAGGCCCCTCTCGCAGCGTCGCTCACAGCCCTCTCGCTGCCCCTCCTGCTGCTACTGCTGCTGTCTCTGCCGCCCGCACTGCCGACCATGCCTCTCGTCCCCTCTCCGCGCTCACTGCGCGCCACTGCCTACGTGAGTCGTTCCCGCCAGTCCCGCCCAGTCATGCCCTCCCTTCCGCTGCCAGTTTTTCCCCTCACGTCCCTGTTCTTGCGCATGCCCACCGCGCCCCCCCGTCCCCCCTTCCCGCGTGCCTATCCGCGCAGCACCTTTCCTCCCCACGCGCACAACCTGCCAGCAGCGCTGCACCGCCGTACTCCCCGCGCCATGTGCAGGCCGCGGCCGTGGGGAGCAGTGAGGGCAATGGGCAGAGGCATGCGGGCGCATGGGAGAGAGGGAGGTGGCCTAGGGGGGAGGGGCAGACGGCGCAGGGTGGTGGCCGGTGGATGAACGGGCAGCTGGTGGGGGTGGGGTTGGGGTTCGCTCACATGGCGAAGGGGCAGATGAGAAGCAGGCATGTGGTGACGGCGCAGGGGGCTGCTGCAGGCGACAGCGAGCAGGAGGTGCAGCGGCGGCGTGAGCAAGGGCACGCACCGTTGGATAGGGCTCAAGAATGGCAGGGGGGTGCAGAGAGGGAGGGCAAGGCGAGAGGCATGGATGAGGCGTCAGCCGCAGCAGCAGCAGCAGCGCCATCGTCGCCTGTAGAGGCGCAGCAGCAGCCGCCGCGGGCATTGGCAGCATGGCAGGAGGGCAGTGCAGCAGCTGAGTCCGAGAGTGAGGGAGTGAGCGCAGGAGGTGGGGAGGAGGGGACTGTGGGTGGGGGGGGGGCAGCAGCACGTGTGCATGCGGATGTGGCGGCCAAGATGAGGCACGCTGCTAGACGGGCCCGTCTGGCACGGGGGGGCTCACATGCGCATGCGCGCGACAGGGGGAGTGGAGGTTCTGGTGGAGAGACGGACTCTGCAGGGATGGCCAAGGAGAGAGAAGGGGAGAGAAGCGACGCCGGCTCGCAGAATGGTGACAGCAGCGGTAGTAGCAGGAGGCAGCGCAGCGGGCGCAGGGTAGATGGCAGTGCCGCTGGCTCCCAGGCGTCCATTCTGCCAGGATCCAGCGTGAGTCGTTACAGGCCTGCTCAGGGCCGCAGCCCAAGAGCGCACAGTCAAGAGGCGAACACACATGGTGGCTCTGCACCCTCGCCTGCGGCCCATGCACCTCGGCAGTCCAAGTATCGTCACAGAAGGCAAGAGCACAGGCAGAGTGGGGCGGCGGAGTCGCAGGTGGAGCTGGTGGGAACGGTGACGCACGTGGTGGCGCAGAGCGAGAGCAGTGGGTGGATGGTACTGAAGCTCGACGTCTCTCATATGCTCACAGCCCCCGCCCAGCCGCGAGCGGCGCCGGTGGAGCGCGGCAACGGCGCAGGTGCAGGAGGCGAGGGGGCAGCAGCACACAAGGCCGGGGAGGGCGGGGCTGCTTTGCGCGTGGAAGATGGCGAGAGTGTGGAGGGGGGCACTGAGGCAGCAAGAGCAGCAGCGTTGGCCGGGCAGGGAGGGGGGGAGGGGCTGAGTGCGGAGGAGAGGAGAACCCTGCAGGATCACATGCGCAGTGGGCAGGTGGCCGTGGTGGGCACATTGGGGAGCGTAAAACCAGGGCAGAGGCTGCGAGTGGTGGGGCGGTGGGTTAGCAGCAAGTATGGTCCTCAGCTACAGGCGAGGGAGGCACACTCAGTACTGCCAACGCATTCAGACGACATTGAAATGTCAGTGCCGCTCGCTCCCCGACCCCCAAGTCTCGCAACACTTACTCCTCATCATCTCACTTTTAGCCAACCCTACTTTCTCCCTTTGTTTCGTCCTCTCCATATCCATGCGGTCCCATGCCGTCCCGTGCCGTCCCATGCGCCCACGTGCCCCCCCCTGGCAGCTATCTAGCGGAGCTTCTCCCGGGGGTGGGGCCCAAGACAGCAGCAGCCCTGCGCGACCGCTTTGGTGCCGATATCTTCACCACCCTCGACAGCCGCAACGCTGCCGTCGCTCTCCAAGACGTGCGTGCATGCGTGCTACATGCGCATGGGATGCTTGCACGGTGTGGGATGGCTGCAGGTCATCTGTGGCGTGCAGGGAGAGACCATGGAAGGGTTTTCATGGGCGGTGGCTGTGCACGTCACAAGCGGCATGCATGGTCGGTCGTCCAAGTGGTGGGGGGGGGGGACTGGCAGGCATGGCATGGGGCTGCACATGGCTTTTCACGCGCACTGCCTCTCCATCCTATGTGCTCGTGGCGATTGTGACATCCGCTCCTGCCCACCTATGCCATGCTTTACCTTGTTGTGTTGTTCCTGTGGCCATGGCATGGCATCAGGTGCCCGGCATTGGGAAGCTGACAGCGCAGCGCATCAAGGCGGCATGGGATGAGGACAGAACCAGGCGGGAAGGTCTTAACCGATTGGTGCAGCTCGGCATTCCCACAGAGGCTGCTGTCAACCTCCGTGAGTGCTGTGAAAATCACTGGGTGCTGTGAATATCACTGAGTGCTTTAAGCTTCAGTTCGTGCTGTGAGCTTCAGTTAGTGCTGTGAGCTTCAGTTAGTGCTGTGAGCTTCACTTAGTGCTGTGAGCTTCAGTTAGTGCTGTGAGCTTCACTTAGTGCTGTGAGCTTCAGTTAGTGCTGTGAGCTTCAGTTAGTGCTGTGAGCTTCAGTTAGTGCTGTGAGCTTCACTTAGTGCTGTGAGCTTCACTTAGTGCTGTGAGCTTCAGTTAGTGCTGTGAGCTTCACTTAGTGCTGTGAGCTTCAGTTAGTGCTGTGAGCTTCAGTTAGTGCTGTGAGCTTCACTTAGTGCTGTGATCTTCAGTTAGTGCTGTGAGCTTCAGTTAGTGCTGTGAGCTTCAGTTAGTGCTGTGAGCTTCACTTAGTGCTGTGAGCTTCAGTTAGTGCTGTGAGCTTCACTTAGTGCTGTGAGCTTCAGTTAGTGCTGTGAGCTTCAGTTAGTGCTGTGAGCTTGAGCGAGTGCCACGCACCCTGCTTCTCACTTGGCATCATACCACATCTAGCCCTCCATCAAAATCACCCATCCATTTCTTCCTCATCCCCCTGCTACTCTGCTTCTCCCCCCCCCCACCCTTCTTCTCCCCCCGCCAGTGAAGCAGCACCCCCTGGACGCCCTGGCAGTGTTGCAGGATGACCCCTGGGCAGCACTGCAGGCCGTGGCAGGCCTCTCCTTCCCCCTTATTGACTCTGTGGCGCGCGCGCTGCACTGCTCCCCCTCGCACCCCTCGCGCCCCTGCGCTCTGCTGCAGGCATGCCTGGTGGACCTGTGCCCCCACGGCTGCCATGTCTTTGCCCCCTGGCCGCTCCTGCTGCGCCACGCCAACAGCCTGCTCGCATCCTGCCATGAGCAAGGGGCATGGGACAGCAGCGGTCCAGAGACCGAGGGAGGGCAGCAGCAGGAGGAGGAGGAGCAGGAGTGGAGTGTGCCGATGGATGAGGGGCGGTTGGAGGGGGCGCTGTGGGAGCTGGAGAGGAGGGGCGTGGTGGTGGTGGAGCGAGGGGGCGATGATGAGACCCGTGGGCGGGCCGGGGCGGTTGAAAGGCATGCTGGCAGCAGCTCTGGGTGGAGCGAGGGGAGTGGGTGGAGTAGTGGGAGTGGGTGGAGTAGTGGGAGTGATGGCAGTGGGAGTGAGGGAAGCGGAGAGGGTAAGTGGGATGGAGAGGGGGGGGAGCAGCGGAGTGCAGAGGGTGGAAGGCAGGCATTGGGACGACATGACCGATGCTACCTTGCATGGATGTGGCAGGCAGAGGTGAGTCCATGCACTCTGAGGCCTGCTCAAATATCCCTCTTTTGCGCTTTTATGTCTCGCCTCCCTGCTCCCCGCCACACTCCTCCCTCCTCTGCTGCCTGTCAGAGGGAGGTGGCGCAGATAGCCCTCTCTAGCGCATTTGTGTCTGCCTGCCCCGCCTCACCCCGCTGCTCCCTTCCACACTCCTCCCCCCCACGCCCCTTGTCAGAGGGAGGTGGCGCAGCAGATGGCGGTGAGGGCGAGTCGGGGCGTGCATGGGGCGGAGCAGCTGCAGGATGTGCGCAGGTGGGTGGCGGACGAGGAGGGGCACGCGGCGCAGCACCTCACAGCGGAGCAGTGTGCGGCGGTGGAGGCAGCGGCGCTGGCGCATGTCATGGTGCTCACGGGGGGCCCTGGCTGCGGCAAGACGTACACCACTCGCCTCATCACACGCCTCTGGACTGCCCAAGGCAAACAGGTACTGCGGCGCCAGACAGACACACTGTTCCGGGAGGGTTGAGTTGAAACACCTTCTCCTCTCACCGCCCCATCCACCTCTGCAGCATGCTCTCCCCACTCTCTTTCGCTCACTCTCCCTCGCTCTCTCCACGTCCCTGTCTGCTGCCCCCCCCAGGTGCTGCTGTGCGCCCCTACGGGGCGAGCAGCGCAGCGGTTGGAGGAGGCGACAGGGCAGAAGGCGAACACCATTCACAAGCTGCTCAGGTACTCCTCCAACGCCGCAGACCAGCACGCCGATGCTGCTGCTGCTGCTGCTGCCATGGGGGGCGCAGGTGTGGGCAGGGTGGGCGGTGGCGTGGTGGGTGCGGTGTGCGATGATTCACTGGGCAATGACTTGCCGCTGTTCTACCACAACAAGGACAACCCCCTCAAGGTACAACATTGCCTTCTCTCCTCTATTCTCTATCCTCTAACCTCCCAACACCTTACGGCTGCTCAGTAGTCCCTTGTCAAGGCCTCCACATGCTGTTGCTGCACCAATGTGTTTACTCGCACCTGCCACCAGCTGATCGCAGCAGATGTTTATCATCGCGCCCACCTTGTGATTGTCCCTGGTGCCATTTCTTGTCGTGCGTGGCGGTGGCGCCCCTTGTGTGTGTGTGGCAGGCGGACGCCATAATAGTGGACGAGGCGTCCATGCTGGACCTGCCGTTGGTGGCGGCCCTGCTGGCAGCGTGCCGGGCGGAGTGCCAGATACTGTTCGTGGGGGACAAGGACCAGCTGCCACCTGTGGGGCCCGGCCACTTCCTCTCCGATATCATCCAGTGCGGGCCACATGCACCATGCATCATGCATCACGCACCCCACACTAATCACTGGATTCCAGCATCCTACCCCTAATGCCTCGTATCCCATCACTCAATGGCTTGTCTCCCCCTTTCCCATGCCTGCTATGCTGAGACTATTGTCGGTTCCCTTTCCATCTTTTAAATCATGCCTTTCCATCTTCTGCATTAAGCCCAGTCCTCATTCTGAATGGTTATTTTTTAGTCTCGCTTCCTCCAGCAGGAATATACTAGGTTACCAGCCGTCAAATGTTTATCACTTGAACTGCATTGGAATGAATGTGTACCGTGGCTTTAATTGTTCTCACCTCCTTCACTGATTGTTAACTCTCGTGTGTGTGTGTGTGTGTGTGTGTGTGTGTGTGTGTGTGTGTGTGTGTGTGTGGGTGTATGGGGGCGCGCGCGCGCGCGCGCTCGCGTGGCATCAGGTGTGGGGTGGTGAAGGTGCACCGCCTGTCGCAGATATTCCGCCAGGCGCAGCAGTCGCACATAGTGCTGCACTCGCACGCCATCCTCAACGGCACCCGCCCCGCCTTCCACGCGCCCTGGCCTCGCTCCGCCTCCGCTGCCATCTCCTCTGCCCTCTCCTCCTCCCCGCCTCCCGCTCCCACCACCACCACAACCGCTGCTGCCGCTGCCTCTCTTCCCTCGCCCCCACCTGCCACTCCCCCTGCTGTGCCTAGAGTGGCAGGGGACCAGTGGTGGGAAAACCTCAAGTCCGACTGTGTGCTCTTGCATGTCAGTCCACGGTTACGCCTCACACTCCCTCTCGACTCCACGCCCCCAACCTGTTCCCCTCTCTGTCCCGTTTTCTCACTTGCTTCCCCCGCAACCACCGTTTCGTCTCGTTCGTTCTCCTAGTCCCAGAAACGCCGTTCGTTCCATTTTCACTCATGCCCTTCTCCTTGTGCTTCTCACACTAAGCGATCGACCATTAGTCTCCCAGGTTCCATCTATTTCCCTCTCATTTCCAATCGCCCCCTCGTTCCCCTCAAGACCACACTGCGTCCACCCTCTTCGGGGACACCCCCCCCCCCCCCCCCCCCCCCCCTTCCCCCCACCCGGCCCCCTCCTGTGGCTGCAGGCTCGCACGCACGGGGAGATGGAGGCGGTGCTGGCGCATCTGCTGACGCACGTGGTGCCGCAGCTGTCCGAGTCACCACGCGACCAAGTCCAGCTGCTGGCGCCCGTGCAGCGAGGGGAGTTCGGCGTCCGCCAGCTCAATGGGGTGCGTTGCAGGGGGGGGACGCTAAGGGGTTGGGTGTGGTGGAGGGTCAAGGGAATAGCAGAGGAAGTGAGAAGGAAAAATGGAACAAGACCTGGTGGTATTACCCCAAACCCGAAACCCGAAACCTGAAACCTGAAACCCCAAACCCCACTTGCACCATTGCCCCTGCCATCACCAGCGCCTGCAGCAGCTGTTGAACCCGGCATGCAGCAGCAAGAGGGAGCACCGCGTGGGGCCAGACACCGTGTTCCGAGAAGGAGATAGGGTCATCCAGCTGGTGAGCCATTCTGCTCCCATAGCTGCTGGCCAGCTGATCACTCCTCACATACCATTCTACCTTAGGCCCACACTCCTCACATGCGAATTGCAGACCATGGCTGCATGCATGCATGCCCTGCTGCCCCTCCCTCACCACCTCATTGCCATCCCCCCCTTCGCCGCATGCCCCCCTGTGCCATGCCATGCCATGCCATGCGTGCGAGCAGCGCAATGACTACACATTGGACGTGAGCAACGGCGATCTGGGGGTGATCAGCAAGATTGTGCACGGCGAGAAGAAGGTGCGCTGCTACCCGCCCCTGCCACGCCTGCCTTCTCTCTTGCTCGAGTTCGTGTCACGCACGCCTCACTTGGAATCCAGATTGCTCCTCCTTCCCATTCCGTTGCCTCCAGCAGGGTTAGTGGCTTCACTGCTGCCTGCTGTGCTCCCTTGCACTCACTGTATGTGCACTTGGGGTGCAATGGTGCACGTCCCCCTTGTCTCCCATGTCCCCCGTGTGCCCCGTGTGCCCCATCTGCCCCGTGTGCCCCATCTGCCCCGTGTGCCCCATCTGCCCCGTGTGCCCCATGTGCCCTGTGTGCACCGTGTGCACTGGTGTGTGTGTGCAGGTGGAGGTGCACGTGGACATGCTGTCCGCCAGCATTGACGACCCGCAGCGAGTCATCTACACCAACGACCATCTCACCCACCTCACTCAAGCATGGGTGCGCATGCCTTACACTTCCACGCTACACTCCCCCACCTGCACCCCTTACCCCCACCCCCTCTCGTCTTCTCTCTCTTTCTCCCTCATCCCACGCCCCCTCTTCCCAACTTCTTGGCTTCCTTCCCCATTTTTCATGTTTCCCTTGGGCGATTCTTCATTCTCTGTTTGCACTATCGATCCAGCATCGGTCCCAAGAGCCACGAGGCATTCAATAATTCATTCGATCATTCTTTTCCATTTCTCGCGCACTCTTGGCACGCTCACCCCACACGGTGCTCTCTGCATGGCATGGCTGGCACCAGGCCATCACAGTGCACAAGGCACAGGGTAGTGAGTACCCCATTGTCGTTCTGCCGCTCTCCTCCGATTATGGCTCCTTCTTCAGGTCTGTGCCATGCACCTTGCACCTTGCACCTTGCACCATGCACCATGCACCATACACCATGCACCATGCACCATGCACCATACACCATACACCATGCACCATGCACCATGCACCTTGCACCATGCACCATGCACCATACACCATGCACCATGCACCATGCACCATACACCATGCACCATGCACCATGCACCGTACACCTTGCACCATGCACCATGCACCATGCACCATACACCATGCACCATGCACCATGCACCATGCACCATGCACCATGCACCATGCACCATACACCATGCACCATGCACCATGCACCTTGCACCATGCACCATGCACCATGCACCATGCACCATGCACCATGCACCATGCACCATACACCATGCACCATGCACCATGCACCATGCACCATGCACCATGCACCATGCACCCAACTATCCCTTACTGCGTCACCATCCCACTCTGCATGCACCCGTGTCCTGCGCGCTCATCCCCTTGGCCATCCACGCACCTCACTCATTCTCATCCCATCCGTCCTCTATCTGCCTTACCTTCCTTCGCCTCCCTCTGCTGGCATCATCCCCCTCACCCTGCGTGCTCTTCTCCCCCAGTCGCCGTCTCTTCTACACGGCGCTGACGCGCGCCCGCAAGTACGCGTTCCTGGTGGGGCGCGAGGAGGAGGCGGTAGCGGCGCTGCACCGCATGTACAAGGACCGCCGCCACACGCGCCTGCTGCCGCGCCTGCTCGAGTACTGGCACTACTGCACTGGCGGCGCCCCCGGGCAAGGCTCCGTGTGAGATAGGAGTCTAGTTTTGAGGCGCCTCAAAATTACACCACTGCACTGGCAGCGCCACCCGGCTAGGCTCCGTGTGAGTGCCATGCCGTGCTGCGCTGCGCTGTACTGGGCCCTGGTGCACCAGCAATTGTGCTGGCTGGCCAGTGGCCGCGCTGTGCGAACATGCCTGGTGATCTGTGCGGCCTGACATGCATACAGGAATTTCTCCTGCAATGTCTGAAGCAGGGGCCGCAACGTTAGTCAAAGTTTATGCTTGCCTCACCAGCGCCTGGCTGTGGCAAGGGTAGCGTTAGGTCCAAATGTAGAATAGCATGCCATGAGCATTATAATGGTGTAGGGAGGGGGGGCTCTATTGCACTAACCGGTTGAGAAGGTATGATTTATTCATTTACTATACAAGGGTGTAATTTTTCTGAGTAACGGAATAATCTAGAACCAGAGATGCAGGGTGGTTTTTGTCAAACATCTGTATTTGTCATGTTTGTATAGACTGTATAGGGTTACCTCTTAGAGGGTACAACACTTAAGTATATTTGTGTGTACTCTCACTTTACCATTATTCAATTCTAATTCTGATATGGTATCACGCGTAGGTAGGATCCCCCCCACCTACCGCTTCCGCTCATCCCCCCCTAGCGCCCCGTCGCGCCCCTCCTGGGCCTCGTAGCGCCCCTCCTGGGCCTCGTCGCGCCCCTCCTGGGCTTCGTAGCGCCCCTCCTGGGCCCTGTAACGCCCCTCCCAGGCCCCGTCGCGCCCCTCCCCGGCCCCGTCGCGCTCCTCCCAGGCCCCCTAGCGCCCCTCCTGGGCCCCGTCGCGCTCCTCCCAGGCCCCGTAGCGCCCCGTCGCGCCCCTCCTGGGCCCCGTAGCGCCCCTCCTGGGCCTCGTCGCGCCCCTCCTGGGCTTCGTAGCGCCCCTCCTGGGCCCTGTAACGCCCCTCCCAGGCCCCGTCGCGCCCCTCCCAGGCCCCGTCGCGCTCCTCCCAGGCCCCCTAGCGCCCCTCCTAGGCCCCGTCGCGCTCCTCCCAGGCCCCGTAGCGCCCCTCCTGGGCTCTGTCGCGCCCCTCCTGGGCCCCGTCGCGCCCCTCCCAGGCCCAGTCGCGCCCCTCCTGGGCTCCGTAGCGCCCCTACTGGGACCCGCCGCGCCCTCCCTGGGCCCTGTAGCGCCCCTCCTGGGCCCCGTCGTGCCCCTCCCAGGCCCCGTCGCGCCCCTCCTCTGCCCCGTAGCGCCCCTCCTGGGCCTCGTCGCGCCCCTCCTGGGCTTCGTAGCGCCCCTCCTGGGCCTCGTTGCGCCCCTCCTGGGCCCCTGTAGCGCCTCTCCTGGGCCCCCGTCGTGCCCCTCCTGGGCCCCGTAGCGCCCCTCCTGGGCCGCGTCGTACCCCCCCCCCCACCCCGGTCCCGTCGCACCCTGCCCGACCCCGTCGCAGCCGCCCGGCCCCGTCGCGCCCGCCGGGCGCCGTCGCAGCCGCCCGGCCCCGTCGCGCCCGCCCGGCCCCGTCGCGCCCGCCCGGCGCCGTCGCAGCCGCCTGGCCCCGTCGCGCCCGCCCGGCCCCGTCGCAGCCGCCTGGCCCCGTCGCCCTTGGCTGGCCCCGTCGCAGCCGCCCGGCCCCGTCGCAGCCGCCCGGCCCCGTCGCACCCTGCCCGGCCCCGTCGCAGCCGCCCGGCCCCATCGCACCCGCCCGGCCGCCGTCCCGCTCGCCCGGCCCCATCGCACCGGCCCGGCCCTGCCGCACTCGCCTGGCCCCGTCGCCCCAGCCCGGCCCCGTCGCGCCCGCTCGGCCCCGTCGCCCCGTCCCGGCCCTGTCGCACCGCCCGGCCCCGTCGCGCCCGCCCGGCCCCGTCGGGCCAGCCCCGGCCCCGTCCTCCTCACTGGTACGGTTCCCCCCCACCCCGCCCTGCTCCGTGCCGCCCCGCACCACACTGTACTGCCTGGCACCGCACTACACCGCACTGCACCGCACTGTACCGCACTGCACCGCACTGTACCGCACTGCACCGCACTGTACCGCACTGCACCGCACTGCACCGCACTGTACTGCCCTGCACCGCACTGGACTGTTCCTGATGGCGGCGGAGCTTCGCTTCGACGCTGAAGGTCAGCCCCTAGAGTTCGAGGCGTGGCTTGCCGACCTCCGCCGCCAACTCACTGGCCAGCGGCAGGATGGTGAACCGCTTTCCGCACACCTTGACGGTACGCTCCCCTGCCCAGACCCCCCTGCTATTCTGTCCGCTGACCCCACACCTACTGAGCGTGAGTCTACTGCTGCCACTGCCCGTGCGCGCTCTGTCTGGCTTTCTCGCGATGCTGTTGCCCAGCTTGCCATTAGCAACGCCCTTCCCCCATCCGAGCGTCCTCGCTTTAGGTCCCTCACTACTGCTCAGGCATACTTAGATGCTGTGATCAAGCGCTATTCCACCCCTCCGGCTGCCTCGGTGGGTCGCCTGATCCTTCCGATGCTCTTTCCTGACCTTGCATCTTTCCCCACTGTCTCTGACCTCGCTGCCCACCTGCGCTCGATAGATGAGACCTGGCGCGCTGCCTGCACTGACGCCCAGCTTAGAGCCCACCAGCCGCCCATTACCTCTACCCTCTACCTGCTTGCCACCCGCCTCCCTGACCGCCTTGCTGTCGCCCGCGACCGCTTTCTTAGCGTTCACCCCGCAGACCTCACCCTCACTGACTTTGTAGACACCCTGACTGTGATAGAGACCCGTCACCGCTCCATCGCCCAGGCGAGCGGTGTCGTGCCGGTCCCTATCTTTCAGGGTTGTGCCCCCGCTCAGTGCACCTTCTCCAACGGCTCTGCCGCAGTGGCTGAGACAGCTGCTGCAGCGCAGGTCCGTTCGGGGAAGGGCCGCCGCCCCAAGGCTGGGCGCGGCGGAGGAGGCGGCGGGGGTGCGGGCGGGGCTAGTGGTGGGGTCGGGTCGCCTGGTGCTGGAGTGGACGAGGGGACCCTGCCCAGTTCAGCTGAGTCGCCGCCCCTGCAGGTGCAGCAGCCGCAGCAGCCGCCGTAGTCGCAGCCTTCGCAGCAGCCGCAGCAGCCGTCGCAGACGCGGCAGACGAGTGTCCTCCCGCCAGGGTGGCCCGGCGCTGGCGGTGGCCGGGCGCGTGGTGGTGTGCCGCGTGGTGGCTCTGGCAGCGGGCGTTGTCAGTACCAGATCCAGACCGGTCCTTGCCGCGGCTTCGTTTGCGGTAAGATCGGTCACTCCACTCCCCGCTGTTTTCGTCGCCTGGACGACCTCTTTCGTCAGCGCTTCGGCCCGTCGCCAGACCTCCCGGACTGGCACAGTTTGCTTAGTCGTCAGATTCAGATTTTTGATATGGACATGGATGCCATTGTTTCCGCTCTGCATGTGATGTATGCTGATGACTCTAGTGTGCTTCCCGCTTATTACTCACTGTTGCCTAGTGTAGGTGTGCCTAGCTTAGCCTCCCCTGCTGCGTCAGGCGTAGGATCCCCTGCTTTGTGTAGTCTTGGTGCTTCCGCCGTCGTTCCGTCGCCAGACCCCTCGGCTTCGCTTTCCTTCACCTTGGACTCTGGCGCCTCTCGGTGTTTCTTCCGCGACTCCACCACCCTGACGTCGCTTCCTGTTCCTGCTGCCGTTTCTCTTGCTGACCCCTCTGGCGGTCCGGTAGTCGCCCGCAGTTCCACCACCCTTCCCTGTCCGGCGGTTCCTTCGGGTTCTCTTACAGGTCTGCATATCCCCTCATTCTCCAGGAACCTAGTTGGTGTCGGCTGCCTCCAGGACCTTGGCGTCACCACTACGTTCCCTGGCCACGAGCGGTATGCTTTCTGTACCGAGGCCGCCACTGGTGCCCCCCTGTCCACGTTCCCCCGGGACCCGGTGTCCGGCCTGTTCACTCTGGACACCGTGACCCCCCCGGTTGGAGCGCCCCCTCAGGTGGCTGCGTCTACCCAGGTTGCTGCTGCCTGCTCCTGTCGCTCCCTCACTCACCCGACCCTCCTGTGGCACCACCGCCTAGGTCACCTTGCGCTCCCGCGTCTGCGTCACATGTCCCAGCACGGTCTCGTCCTTGGTCTCCCAGGTTCGCTCCCCGCGTTTCCCTCCTCTCCAGCCCCACCTTGGACGCCTTGTGTCGAGGGTCGGCTTCGCCGTGCCTCTCACTCATCCTCGTTTCCCCCTACCGCCGCGCCGCTGCAGACCCTGCACCTGGACGTCAAGGGCCCGGCCCCCGTCCCTGGGCCGCGTCGAGAGCGCTACTTCCTTGTGCTTGTCGACGACTTCACTCGTTACACCACAGTCTTTCCCCTGGAGCGCAAGGCCGACGTGCCTGGCGCTCTCATCCCCTGGCTTGTCTCTGCGCGTGTCCACCGCGGTCTCCCTGTCTTGCGTCTTCACTCAGACCGTGGTGGCGAGTTTGCCTCCGGTGTCCTTGGTCGCTTTTGTCGTGCGGAGGGCATCACCCAGACGTTCACCCTACCGGACTCCCCACAGCAGAATGGGGTCGCTGAGCGACGCATCGGTTTGGTCATGGAGGTGGCTCGCACCTCCATGATCCATGCCGGTGCACCCCATTTTCTGTGGCCGTTCGATGTGCGCTACGCTTCTCACCAGCTTAACCTGTGGCCGCACCCTCAGCAGCCGCAGGTTTCGCCGACCCGTCTTTGGACTGGGTCTCCTGGTGACGCGTTTGCGTTCCACGTCTGGGGCTGCCTTGCTCACGTCCGTGCCTCCGGCACGAACAAGCTCATTGCCCGCACCCTTCCCTGCGTCTTCCTCGGTTTTCCCCTTGACGCGTCCGACTGGCACTTTTACCACCCGCCGTCTCACCGCTTCTTTCACTCTCGTGACGTCACCTTTGACGAGTCCGTCTCCTACTACCGCCGCTTTCCCCACCGTGGTCCCCCGGTTACCCCCCCCCTGTTCCTGGTCACCCCTTCCCCGGTAGTCCCTGCCCCTCCTCCTCCTCCTCCCCGTCCCGCCCCCTCTGGTGTGTCCCACGTCACCCCCCTTCCGTCCGTGGACCCGGTTGAGGAGTCTTCTGACTCTGGTGGCCCTCCTGTGCAGTCCTCGCCGGCCGCCCCTCCCCAGGTGTCCCCTCCCCAGTCCCCTCCTCCACCGCCACTACCGCTGCTGCAGCCGTCGTCGTCGCCGCCGCCACCGCCTCCGCCGTCGCAGCACCCGTTCGCTGACTCTGGGGGTGCTCGTCCCGGTCGCCCTGGGGGTGGTCCCTCTGGGGGTGCTGGTGTGGAGAGTGCCGGTGGTAGCCGAGGAGCAGCTTGCGGTCCAGGTGTCGCCGTTGTGCCGCCGCAGCAGCGGTCCCCGCCGGTGTCCGCCCTTCGCCTGCTCGGCCTTCCGTTCCCCGACCCTGCGTCGGTTCCTCCCCGACCGTCTCCTCCTCTTCCTGTCTACGGCCCTGTTTTTCCTCCGCCGGACTCGTCCCCGGCTCGTCTCCCCCCTCGTTCCCCTCCTGTGTCCCTCCCCTGTCTCCTGACCCGACTCCTCCGTCGCACGTCTGGTCTCACCGCCCCTCCC